ACACACACACACACACACACACACACACACACACACGCTTCACATTTACCTGCAGCATCAGTCGATGGTGCTGATGTGTCAACATAACTGTGACACCAAATATGGCTTTATGTTATTTTATGTTATTGAGATAAAGTGTTAAACTGTTTATTATCCCAAAGGGGAAATTCATCTGCAGGGGAATACAATACAATATAATATAGGAAATATAATAGAGAAAGAATAATGTGGTGGGATGCGTTCCTATCCCTAGAATTATACAAGATGTATCATATTTATTTATCAAATCAAATTTTTGTTTTTATGATTGTTCCTTTTTGTTTTTTGATATTGTTCTCAAAACATTAAAATCCTGCATCTTATATTTTATCCGTTTCATATTTGCGGATGCAAATGAATGTGGTTTTGTGATTTATATATTTTTTGTGTAAATAGAAACATATGAATATAATCATATAATAATAAATATAACATTAGAAACATGATAATGAAACGTTCCGTTCTGCATAACGAGAACTTTTACTTTTGCTACTTTCAGTCGTTTTGATGCTAAGAGTATTTCTACACTGTAGTGCTGCTATACTTTACTGCGAGTACCAGATCTGAAGAGTACTTCTTCCACCTCTGGAGAAGAGATGTTTAATCCTCTCGTCTTCACCAGGAAGCGAGCGAGTTTATTTACAACGTGTTGGTTATTAATGTGTAACACGTCTCACCAGCGCGTAGTACGACAGCGTGGACCCGATGTAGATGATCAGCTGAGTGAAGCTGAACTTCCCCGCCTGTAAAATGAATGAAACGTCACTTCATTACTCACATTAAGACGATACATGTTGTATTACAAGTGTTCTCAAATGTTGTGTTTAAAATAATATGTAAATGAGGCGTTATGTGATGGGGACTTTGGTGAATTTAAGAGAAATCGAAAGATGTAAACAGACAAAGTAGTAAAATAAATGTTTTGTTTCCGCTCGTCTGAAAGAAGACGAGTTATGGAAGAAAAATAGAACAAAATCTTTAAATAGAGCAGCATGAAGAACAACGGTTTCACCTTTAAGTCTAGAAAACTCAACGTAACAAATAAATAAATCTGTGAAAGTAAAAGAGAATGAAGACCCGCCTCTCCGAACACCATGACATCGAACCGGATCCCGAATGCTTTGTACAGCGTCCGCTCCTCCACCCCGCTCACCGTGTTGTACTTTGCAAATCTGATCAGAAGACGACAGAAATATGAGAAATAATAAGTAAAATAATGTTAAACTGTGCCGCTCACAAAGAAACATGAAGCCGGATTATTGAGCCGAATATGAAACCAACTCACTTCTGTTTCAGTTTGAATTTATTTACTTTTATTTATTAATGATAAACGTGGTTTAAAAAATGAAATATTGATTACTATCATTTTTATTATTATTAATAAAATAAATGGTGAAACATAGAAACCTTTATTGTTTTTGTTGAAATTATTGGATATAAAAGTCTATTAAAGGTAATAATAATAATAACAATAATAATAATAATAAAGGTCCTATAATGGTCCTGTGATGAGGAACTTATAAACATTAAGTGAGGATGTTGAACCTGACCCCTGACCTCTGACCCCGGCTCACCTGAAGGATGTTAAAGTTGACTCCTGACCCCGGCTCATCTGAAGGATGTTGAATCTGACCTCTGACCCCGGCTCACCTGAAGGAGGTTAAAGTTGACCCCTGACCCCGGCTCACCTGAAGGACGTTAAAGTTGACTCCTGACCCCGGCTCACCTGAAGGACGTTAAAGTTGACCCCTGACCCCGGCTCACCTGAAGGAGGTTAAAGTTGACCCCTGACCCCGGCTCACCTGAAGGACGTTAAAGTTGACCCCTGACCCCGGCTCACCTGAGGGATGTTAAAGTTGACCCCTGACCCCGGCTCACCTGAAGGACGTTAAAGTTGACTCCTGACCCCGGCTCACCTGAAGGAGGTTAAAGTTGACCCCTGACCCCGGCTCACCTGAAGTTGAGGCCTGGGTAGAGCGTCCGGTTGCTCTCCTTCTCGTCCAGCCGTATGAAGGAGTACTTCGGGAGGCAGCGCTGCGTGAGTCGGTCCAGGTTACAGTCCCACTTGATCAGGATGCCGATGACGCCCCCCTGTGGTCCACAGAGGAAGTGCTGATTATAAACCACGAGATGATCCCGGGTCACGTTTCACTCAGAGGGGACAACTTTCTGCTTTTACTTATTGTTTAGTATTAAAAGTTGTCTGAAATATTATGTATAAATATGCAAATTAGGCATTATCTGACGGTACAGACACAAACAGACAAAGAAATAAAATGGATGTTTTCATTCCACTCGTCTGACGTTCTGGAGGAAAAATAGATCACGATCTCTGGAAGTGCACATTTTTGCCTTCAGTGTCTCACCTTAAGTACATTTTGTTAATACTACTTATGTACTTTTACTTCAATGAAGGATTTTTTTACTTGTAATTGAGAGTTTTTTTCCATTGTGGTATAAAAACACTAAAAGTAAAGAATCTGCAGTGTTTAGAGTTACGTTATTCAACTACAGAATAAATGTGATCAGTTACTGAGAGTTAAATATTCCATTAGATTACCGTTTAAAAGCTTCATGTAGAACAGAACATTAATGCTGTCACTCTAAATAACTTTGAAATAAAGTTTGACAGTAATGAGTTTATGAGGTTGACTCTGCTGCTTTCAGTTCATGCTTTCATGACCTTTAGTTTAAAACATCTGATAAAGAAGACTTTGATGAAGTAATTTACATTATTTAATCTGTAAAATATTGCATTTCTAAATTAACCTTCCGGCTGGTTTTCGCTCAAAAATATATTTTAAAAAACAGGAATAAACATTTGATACTAAATATTTTTATGTTTTTAAATGCTTTTCAGCATGAAATGTATCCCACGATTCACTGCAACACAACCTTCAGACGATGTGAGACGATGTTCAAACGGTGGAAATGAGGTTTTTGTGCATCTTCTGCTTTCGTCTTTTCATTTTGAGTCACTTCTGAGTCCTTAAAGTCTGATTTCCTGAAAACAAGAGAATGAAATCTGCCGAAGAGCTAAAAGTATTTCAACTTGCTTCCAACAGAATTCAACTTCTTTTGAGATTTTTATAGAAATGTCAGACTTGTGTTCTGAAATAAGAGAAACGTTGATCTTCACAGGAAGATTTCCATCACTTATTTTAAGAGAATAATACTTAATACTGTTTAAAAGATGTTTAAATGTATTTTTTATACATTTCACTGTGACGCTGATTTTTCACTTTCACACAATGTGAAAGTTTGCTGAGTCAGCACTTCCTTTTTCTCTGTTTTGGCTGTTTCATTTCAGCTTTTCAGAAAAACAAACAGGTCTGGAGTCAGTCAGTAAAATGTAATAATGTGATGTAAAATATACAGAAACATGTGAGCTTCACCTCCACGGCCATTTCAGAGAACTTGTCCCCGGCCTCCCGGACGACGTCTCCCAGTCTGAAGATGGGGCACAGAGAGTCGTTGCTCCTCTGGCAGCTCCTCAGGTAGTCTTTGCTCATCTCTGGGAGGATGTTCCTCCTGCAACACACAAACACACACACACACGCACGCACACACACACACACACACACACACACACACACACACACACACACACACTAAAAACAGAGGCTTTTCACCTTTTACAGACGTCATCGGTCTGTTTTCAGCTCAATCTTCACGCTCAAGTGGTGTTTTTTTTTTTCATATTGCATTTCTGCAGACTTTGCCTAAAGGAATTACCCATAATTCATAGCATTGTGACGTTAAACACGGGGTTACCAGGGGGGGGAGAAAAAAAAAAAAGAAAAAAAAAAGGTAAACAAAGAGGAGAGCAGGATGTTAAGTTACATTTACACAGAAAACATCAACATAAAAACACATTCAAATCACATTTATTCCTCAAACATTTCTTTTGATTTTGATTATTGAGGCTGTGTTGACAAAAAAACAACAATTAAATAGATTTGACGATCACCTCTCGTCTCGTGAAACGAGTAAAAACCATCAACCAGTTAAAGTTTCATTAGCTTTCCTTATTTAATAAAACAATGTAACCAAATACTTAACAAAAATAATACATTTTCTCTATGATAAACTGTGACATGATACATGATAATACAGTAAGTAAAACCCCAAAGAGAGAAGAGAAATACTACTTTGTTGAGATAAAACATAAATGAAAGGGTTGCTGTTAGAAGTAAAGCGTAACGACGTCTCACCGGATGAAGTTGAATGCAGGGAACCGGATGTTGTTCTTGATGAGGACCGTGAAGTTCTCAGCTGCTGCCAGCAGAGCGGGTCTGCGTCATGGGAAATTAAAAGTATATATTAAAATATAAAATATATATTACACACTTAAGTCATTACAGGACGTTTTTAAAACAGACTCAAAATCACTGAACCTCCATCTTTGAGACTCAAAAGCCGCGGCCCTGAACACCAGTTCTGAGGAAGTTTCAACATGTTAGAGACACAATCACGTTCACTTATAATCGTCTATACGCTCTATGAAGACTCTTTACTCTGCAGAAAACAGCAGAAAAGACTCAGTTAGATACGAGCTGGTGAACACAGTGCAGCATTCAGCAGCTAAAGAGGAGGTGGAGACCAAAAACAGAGCTAAAAGAGGTATCATCTTATTAAATATCTGGTCATTTCATACATTTACAGACATAAATCTGAACATTGGATAAAGCCAGGTCCAAAACCCCTCTGTGTGAACCTTCAGCACACAGAGAGGAATGAACGAGTGAAGTTTGGTGAATGTAAGAGCTGCTGAAGTGGAGATTTATCATCAGAGTCTGAGAACAAACTCATTTAGAGGAAACGTCCTTTAAAGAGACGTTTAGTT